TGGAGACATAGGTGGAGTGGTAAAAGGATCCATAATGGTGGAGTTGTTGATAGTTTAGTCCTAATGTGAAGAGTTTTAATTTCGAGGTTCTACAGCCTGAACGCACGGACTTTTGTCCCCATGTTCGTTAAGCACGATTGGACTGGGCAAGATTTTGGAGCGTACGACAAATTCGTAGGTCTGCATCACCAATGTGGGGCCGGTTGTATCTGTCCCGTAGCACACTACAACACCAGCGTCCTCAGTAGTACGAATGGCTTTAACTTCTACGTTTCCCACAATGGCGTTCTTGCGTAGTCCTTCAGGAGTTTCGAAGTTGTCATAAGGCGGCATAGTGACGAAAGTGTGAAGGGCGAGTGTTGGTGTTAGGAAAACTCCTTTAGCAGCCATGATTGCTGCAGTTGGTGCATCGAGCATATTCCCATGCTCAATTCTACGAACGCCTCCCTCGATTACGTGTAGTATACCTGGAACCGTATAGCAATGGGCCGTTACAAGAGTCCCTTTCATATTTGCGCAGGTACTGGTAATGGCTTTCAGTTCTTCGATGCTGAATTGGATGCTGTCAATTGGATCCGTTTCTGATGCGATACCGCCCGATGTCTATAAATCTATCAGTGATGAGCTTGGGAGAACGTATGTAGTAGAAATACTTACGCAGATCTTGATGTGATTTGCTCCTTTTCTCATGTCCTCCCGAGTTGCTCGTATGCACTCATCAACGCCATCAACAACTCTGCCCAAGGCAGAAGGATCGATGCCTCCGCAGCACGAAGTATGTGGAGCCAGGCCACTGCCTTCACTCCATATGTCTGCATTATCCCCATGTCCACCTGTGTGCGAGAGCATACGGCCTCCCTGGAACACTCTCGGACCAGGTATCAGAAATTCCTCGGTCGCTTTGGCATGGGCTACCGTTGCTCCACCTGTGTCTCGTACTGTCGTGAAGCAGTTTGAAAGGATCCCACGTAAGGTACTTGCTGAGCGCATGATAGCTTATTCATGTGGAAATGTGAATGCACCATGCAGAGTCTATTGCCATCAGTGTCCCATTCGAAAATGCACAATTGGAGAAGTGAGCTTACACTACTTCCATGTACCGCCATCAAATGTACATAGCCTATCCACAGTCAGTGAAAGTTTTCAAGTCTGCGACAATCAATTACCAACTTACAATCGATCAAGCCTGGAAATACATAGCACCCCTTGGCATCAATTTTGATAGCCTTCACGTCGCCATGTCTGACCTCGCAAAGGCGATCATCCTCAGTAGTCGATGCAACACTGACAACTTTGTTTGCTGCAAGATGCAGTGTGATACCTTCACGTAAACAGAATGTCTCTGGTCAACCAATCTGGCGTTGAAGATCACATAAGGTGTCTGCGGCCTGGAAGCCATGGTTTCTCTGCTATATCGTAGCTAGGATTCAGCGGATAAAGTGTTGTGATGTCGAAGTCCTCATATTCAACTTGTTCTCGAAGCTGTGACCGTGATCGGTTTGGTAGAGCGGTTGTTGAAGGAGTGAGAGGTGTTAATGTTTCAAATGGTTGTGGATTTGAGTTTGAGGGGTGGCGTTGTGGCTGGTGCTGCATGGAAACAGACTGTGGCTGAGGAGCTAGACGCATTTTGTCGACGGAACTCAATATCTTTTCAGCCAGATACTCGTTGAACAACTTTTTATTCTATTACTAGACTTACCCTCCTACACCTCGATCTTAGTCTTAGACGTGTTCGAGGAAACTTCTATAAGCAGGGAATAAATAGCCCAGAATGCACAACAAATGAAAGCTACAATCAGAAGCTCTCTTCGCTGACATCTCATACACCGACATCGCCCAGCTCTCCGCAGAACATTATCAGGCGCGGAATCATCCTACCGGTGCTTGACTCCGAAATGGGTACTTCCATCCTTTGTTATGTGGAGAGGAGATATGGGTCGCCCTTCACCGGCGTCTCAAAGATGGGATGGTCACCGGTCTGAGAACACATCAGCATTCTGTCTGCTCCGTGTGCGCCTAATCTCGTTTGAGCCTTACCAAGTAGTTTACAGCGACCAAATTGGCTACGAGCTTTGCCAACTTCTTTTACAAATTTACATTAAAACTTAATGTTCTTAAAATTTAAACTTACATATACCATTCTATAAGACGTTCTGCAATTTGCATAATTATTGTGCTCTCAATATCTGTTACAAGTCGGACAATATTCGCGAGAAAAAACGCAACACTAGCCGCAGCTTGGGGGATATGCTCCGGAGGTAGCATGGAATTTTAGCTGTTGAGAACTGGGCTCTGCGCGCCTTTGCGCTGTTTAGCTTGCATTCGTCTTAAAATTGCTGCTCTCTCACCTTAAACTGCCATTGATTTTGACCTCAAAATCTGTCGAGGACGTAAATCTGGACACGGACTACCCGCTGCGGCCGGCGATCGAGCCATGGAACATTTCAACCTCATATCCGTATCTTCGAAGGTTTGCCAAGGAAGTTACGGAAGGAACATGGCTTTGCTTAACGACATTAAGGTAAGATAACAGGAAGAAAGTTCGATATTCCAACGTTGACCTTTATTTCAGCTACTCCTTTCGCTTCCAGTGTATCTGGGCAAGCAACTCGAGGCATCATCGATCGAAGCAATACAAAAAACAGCATCGACCTTCGAATCACAGTGCGCATCGCAAACCACGGGATGTGCCCTGCAGGCCCGTTTCCTAAGCAACATAGCATTACAGTTCGAGAAGGTCAAAAAGCAAACACCAAAATCCACAAGTTCCCAATCTGCCACAACCTCGAACATCGAGTTGACAGATGTTGAACGCCGCTCACGGTCTAAAGTTCCTTCCGGTGTGCAATCAGTTATAGCAATGGATCAAAGCAGCAACAATAGTCCTGTGGAAAACTGTGCTGAGGTGCCATGGAACGAAATTACCGATCGTTCACAGTACTCCTTTCTTACATCTACCAACGCAGATTTGAGGCCTAAATGAGTGACTGGGCATTTGATAATAATGACCAGTGGGAGACGATGTTCGCTAATGCTGATTATCGAATTCTTGATGGCGTTTTTCTGCCTGACGATATTATGACCGGAACACTTGAAAGCTGACTGTCTTGAACATCACTGAATGTTTTGCTCTATACTTTCGCTGTTGCTTGCCTTGGGCCCAACCCATTTATATGCTTTTCTCAAAAGACTGCCAGCGAGAATGTCCGAATTGAGGAACGCCTCATACTTCCCCGGATCATCCTTTTCTTAATGATCCGTGTATAAATCTATATTTGAGCCTGTTCCGCATTGTACAGAGACTTGGAGATTGATTGGGGTTCGCTTAGTTCCATTGTATCCTCATTTAGCCATTTCCGTTGACCCAAGCTCACAAATAAATTGCAAGTGCGGGGGTAATAAATACCAGCTTCCGATCAAGACTGCCGGAGCCTTGATGGTACTGTAGTCATTCTGACGGATGTGACAAGGCTTGCTATATTTGAGATTGTCCCATTCCGGTGTTGTGGGGCGAAAAGCTTGAAGCACGTTTATTTTTCAGCATCTGCGAGAAATTTTACATACACAACCTCACCATGTCACACCTCAATCATTACAGCAGAATGATCCTCAGCATTGTCGCCCTATCATCTCTTGGTCGAATGGTGACTGCAGACTGTACCCGGAATGTTCTCGTCGCAGCTGCAGATTTGTACGTTGCAGCCCAAACTGCAGGACAACTAGGCGACCTACAAAAGCTTCTCACTACCGATTACAAATATCAAGAGAACAACAAAGCTTCAGATGTGAAGTCCAGCGTTCTCGGCACAGCATTGAAGATCGATCATCGCAAAACGACCGCGGATACAATCGCATGCGCCAGCTACACGGAACTCGTCGCGACCACTTCCAAACCATATGTGATTGGGACTCAGCTTCGTCATACTGCTGATGGCGCAAATGTCACACTGATCGATACAATTGCTGCAACAACAGGCTCATTGTCGTTCAATGCGGCCAAGACCTTGGGCTACATTCAGAAGGAGGATTGGAGTGTGATTGATGCCTCGAAGAGGGATAGTCGGACGGTGCTGCAGAACGCGGCTGATGCATATCTCGACATGTGGACTAATGCCAGTGCATATAATGCCGTGCCGTGGGGGACTCCTTGCGAACGTGTGGAAGGGTCTTCGTTGAATTCTCCTTATACGGTTGGGGCTCCGAAGGGTGGTAGTACGCAGCGGAATTCAATGCGTCGTTATGTCATTGATGACACGCTTGGCTCTTGCGATGTTCTTTGTGCTTTCTCGGCGGTTGGGGTGTGGCTGATAGTCATGAGTTTCGCCTCGAGAATGGAAAGTTGAGGTTTGTGCATACTATCACGCTTTAAGTCAGCCCAACATTGAAGTACTGGCGAGGGAATGAATACATTTTTGCCAGACTTTCGAATGAAATAGCTGTTCTTCCCTTTTCAAAAGAGATGTTTGATAATAGATAATGCAGAGACTATACCTATGGCACTCAAAATCGGGCCACATTATGCTTACCCACAGATAACTTGAGGCTTGGTTGAAGTTAAAATGACTATGCACGACCCGTCTCCAAAGTGCCAGTACCTATCTTTTGCGTGTTGCTGCAACCCCGCAGAGCTCAAGCAGCAACGCCAATATGTTTCTTCCATCCTTAAAGGACATCCGTTCTCAGCAAAACATCATTTTTGTTCTTGATGCTTATGAGCCGGATAATATATTATTCAAATCTCCCAGGCACGAGTGTAGCCAATAAGACCACCGTGCAGCCAACATTGATTACTTGAACAACCAAGATTACCAACATCAGGTTCCAATCTTGTTATGAAACGAAACCTTTCCCATAACTACGCAAAGTTTCGCCCCTTCAAGTCCATCCTAAACCATTTAGCTCTCTCGCACACATCTCTTCTGCATTGTTATCCACTAGCAAGTTCATCTACTATGGAAGACCAGACAAGGAAAGTTCGCATAGCCATATCAGGTGGTGGACTAGCAGGATTGACACTTCTCAATGGCCTTCTCAAATATCCTCATCTCTCAGTAGAAATATTTGAATCAGCTACCAACTGTTCTGAACGTGGCGCAGCAGTCTCCTTAGGAATCAACGCACAAAATGCTCTGCATGAACTTGGCCCTGTTCTAGAAGAAGCTGTTTCACTTGCTGGCGCAATTCCGTACAACTCTTCCAGAGCAATGATCGTGAGTTTAATGATCTGTACTCTGTTTACTGGTCTTTCTAACGCCGATATAGGGGTTACGGCCGAATGCTGGAAGTATAGTAATAGAACTAAAGGGTGATGGATCCGAAAAAGGTGTTCACAGAGCAGCGTTATTGAGCGAACTTTTGAAGCCAATACCACAGATCATGACTCACACCAATAAAAAGCTCATCCGAGTTCAGGAATGCAATGATGGGGTCAGGCTATTTTTTGAAGATGGCACCAAGGAGGTCTTCGATGGATTGATCGGTGCAGATGGAATTCATGGTTACTGCCGGGAGTATATTCTTGGTGCGGAACACGCGGCATTGAAGCCTCATTTTGCGGGATTCTGGGACTGTCGATCATTGGTTCCAATCCAAAAGGCCAAAGAGGTCTTGGGCGAGAAGTATTTCAACGACGGTCTTCAACATGCGTGGGTTGGACATGGCAGTTATTTAATGCATGATGTTCTGGATAATGGTGAAACGATCCAATGTGTGTCATCGGTCGAGACAGATGAGAACTGGAGCCTGGGAGAATGGAAAAGAGACTTTGATGCTGAAGGGTTAAAAGAAGCATTTTCCAAATGGACAGACTCACCAATTCTCGAAGGGATGATCGAGGTATGTCTGGTCCTTTATTGAAATCCAGCGACTAACACAATTCCAGTTACAGGAAGTAACTCAGACTTACGCGCTTATCCACAGTGGGAGCACAGTGTACACGCTCCCACGTACACCAAGCGATGGGTATGTGTAATCGGTGATGCCGCGCACGCAATGACTCCATGGCAAGGATCTGGTGCCGGGGTCGCTCTTGAAGACGCAATGATCCTAGACACGCATCTCCAACTCATCAAAGATCCTCATCAGATCAAAAGTGCTTTTCAAGCATATGATCAAGTACGTCGACCAAGAACCCAGAAGCCTGTAGACTCTAGTAAGACAACTGGACGCATATTTTGCGGAAGAGGACCGGGTGTTGGTCTAGAGCCCGAAGAACTCCGCAAGTCGCTGTGCTCAAGATGGGACTTCATTTATGCGCTTGATATGAAGCAACACAAAAGGGACGCTTTGGATGCATTTGCGGATTTAAACACACAATCTGTAGTAGATTAAAGCAAGTTCGGCACATGGTCTGGGAACAAAGGCTTTGGTGAGACAAAATCACATGAACAATGCATTGTCTTCTCGATGTTCAGGGCTTTCCTTGATTTAAAACTTATATCTTCTAATCTACTTGGATTTCTCTCGGAGACAGTGAAGTACTCTTGAACGATCGTTCGCAAAGTCAATTTCTTTTAGTCTGAGTCAGCTAGGGTGAAGACGTTGGTGAACACGATGAGCAGGCAGACGTGCCTCCGCACTCAATTCGGCAGTGTTTTCTATACTGGAAGTCAATTAGAAGGCGGGACACTTTCTGTCGGCGGACCCGATCATGAAACATTGCGCCACACCATCATCGAGGACCAGCACTTGGGTCTCTTCGGTAGCCGTCTTTTAACGGGAATGTCAGGTACCCGCGAACGGCACGACGGGTGTTCCTGCGCCACCCAGAAGTGTGATTGATGGGCCGATGCAACAGGTCTCTGTTGGCAGGCCGACAAATCATCTGGATTTGGAGGATCTTTTGTTGGAAGGGCGAGGACTAGGTCGGGTCCGGGGTCGGGGCCCAGGTCAGGGGCTTCCCGGTCCGATTTAGAAGCGCGCGTTGTGAATGAAGCCTTGAGGGAGAGATGTTGTTACTACTTCGCGACCCTTTCTGAAGTGGACAGGAAGTCTAATGTTGCGCGTGGAGTAAAGGCTGATCTGCACAGCAATTCCTCCTCTCGACTCTCGATGTCATTTGGGTGGCGGTGCTCAGCCGGCACCCATTCCAACAAGAGGACTCACAGCAAGGACCTACATCTACAGCAAAAGTCACGCCTTTTCAAACTTAAAATGTTGTTCTGGCTAGATGATGTGTATTCTCAACAGGTCACTCTCAATCCGCCGGTATCAAATACCGGGCCTCGTACGGCACCCCTCATGCTCCCCTCGCCCGTCATGATATGTCCCTTGTTTCATTGCCATGTTGGTATGTATTCCTAAGGATAAGTCAGTTCCGTTATATTATCGGCCCTTCTCATCCCAAATTTCTCGGCCAGTAAGTCACACAAGCACTTTACCAAGTTGTGTCTGTCTCACTCGACATGTATCTTGTGTTTCATCAAGATGTTGGTATATATATATAATGCAATGTGATGCTGTATGCATCTTCGACAGTACTTATGTTACTCAAGGTGTTGGTGTATCTATATTCGTGCCCTCCATTCCCTTGTCGTGATTCTCTCGACCTGCGAGACCGAGTGAGTACCTCGTATGTCCGCTGCACGCGTCACTGAAGAATGTTGTGTAATCTTACAAGTTGGTTCATTTATCTTTGGCAATGAGATTGGACTCTCTCGAAGGGTCCTTCGTTGTCTTCTTGAGCATTCAAGAGACCAAGAGCTGAGTCCATTTCTCTCTGGACATTTCTATTTCCTCGCTTCAGATACCCTACCTCTCACACATCTTTGTGCAGAGTGGAAAATTACAGTTTCATATCTCTCGGTTGTCTTTGACCATGAGGCACAGTCTCGCACTTTGTTTGTGCTCTTGCGCAATTACTCATGGCTATTATCTGGACGACAGTTGTACTCCATATGCGGATCTCCTTGCCGCGGGAATGAAAGGTGCTTTCGATTTTGCCAATGCTGCATCTGGTCTCCTCAGTACGCCTAGCACGAGTACGAATGTCTTACAGGCACAACGGGACCTAACAACATTTTTGTTCCCAACAACAATGAAAAATCCAACAGATAGAATGACTGTGTCGGAGAGATTCTCGTCTGTTCTGGCATTCGGTGCCACCACCGGCACCCTCGAAGGCACTTTAGATCCAATTCTGTCCGTTAATTTGTATTGTAAGTGGTCTCCGGCAAGTAATTTCCTAATCAACGCTTTTTGGAGAATGGCGAGATATTGTTTCATTCTTGTTGCTACCATGTTTCTACCTTAAATATGTCCCAAAGAAGTAATACTGACTCCGAGGCTCTCCACAGTGCTTTTGCCACCAGACAAAATCATCTTCTTTTGCGATGAAGGAGAAAGATTCGAGTTCGACGTGCGCTGTAACGGCGTCGCTGATAAAGGTTGGAACTGTGATAGGCTTATGGAAACCACTTTTCAAGACGCCGATGTACCCGGGTTTTTGAATTGTTTTGATAATGATTCTGAGGAAGAAATGGACGATCCAAACCTTCCTAATGTAAGTATCGAGCCATTAGAGTAAACTTGAAAATTTACCTTAATGCAGGCATTCACGTTGCAAATCGAGCAACAAGACAGACCTACCCCAATTCAGATATGTCCCTGGTATTTACAGAAGTTGCAAAGTGCCAGATTTAAGACTCTCGAAGACTTGGGAACTTCAGGTGCAATGGCTCTTTCAGAGAACGATTTCAACAGGTTGTTAAACAGCTTAAGTCAGTCCTCGACAAGGACTGCAATGGATTCACTTGAGTTAATGGACATGGTTCTGCTTCATGAGCTGACACATGCTATTTCAAAGCCGACTGGTGATTTCGACGACGCTGGTAAGGCTTTTGATTGTCTGCATTCTCCGTGTAATCATGTATGGAACAACGGTCATGTTTCTCGCACTGAATTTGTGAGATCTACAGCGTATAACTCTTTATCATTTGACAGTCTCAACAACTATTTGAAACTCAAGGCTAACGTCCATTCAATCTAGGATGGCAAAGCGCTGTGGCAAAAAACCCTAAGTGCATAGACAACGCCGAAAATTATGCTTTTTTCGGCCTTGCCGCAAGAATGATTTCTCCAATAGTCCCGGGCGCAAAGCCTATGCGGCCAATGATTGGGGGAAATATTCAGATTATCCCAGCCGACTCGACCTCCAAGCGAGCTGCCGTCGTATATGACAACTCCCTAGCTCTCAAACTAGCCGGGACCGCAAGCATCTCTGGAGAGTCCGCTATTTCTAAGAGTTCTAGTAGTCTCTATTATAACACACTTTCCACCTTCAGCACATTACCTTCGTCCCGCAGCCAGATTTACTCTAGCAATCTGCTGTCAAGCACCAGCAGTCTATCATCCTCGATGTCAAACGGTGGTCCAGCGCTAAGCTCTAGCTCTAGCAGTGTAGTCGGGACATCTTACATGTCTAGCCAGTCCCTCTCGCTGTCTGCAATCGCGACATATACAACTAATTCTGGGAATGCAACATTCACAATCACATCTAGCCCTTTCATTTCTAGCCACGCGAGTTCAATAGTTTCTGTAAATGCCACTAATACCAATGCTTCTCTGACTGGTACCTTCTCAGCAAGATCGAGTATCTTTGGCTTAAGTCAGACGACTTCAATACTCTCTGTGGCCACATCCTCCCATGGAAACACCTCGCTTATGACTCTCAGCTCGGGCCCGTCGACATCAATACAATCTGCGAGTGCCACCAATGCGACTACTCCTGAGACTCATACCTCGCAGACCGGATGGAATACTTTCACTTCAAGCAAAAGTGATCGTATGAGTTATACTTCTGTCGAGACGAGTACCTCAACTTCCTCTGTACAGGCGTTGAGCAGCTTGAGTGATGCCAGCAATACAACATCCTCGATGTCCGTTTCGCTACCAGGTATTGGTAACTTGCCGTTTCCAACTTCGACCCCATCCTCGCTCACCGACACTACAACGGGTGCTTTTACTTTCAGTGGTTCATGGACTGACGTCGAATCTACCTTAACACCTCAATCATTTGTATTTTTCAGAGTTCCCACAGGAACGATTACAAGCGCTCCAGCAGAGACGTCTGAAGTAACATTACTGGGAGATTTATTTCTGGCACTACAAGCGAATCGAAAATGGCTCACGGATTCCACATTGAAATCCAAATTTCTTGATTCTGTGCAAAAGACAAAAGATGAGACAACAGCCCTGCTCAACGATCTCAGCGTCAAGCCCGCGGACATTCCGGATTGTCACGACACCAAGCGAAAAAGACATTTGAGACTGTCTGAAAGGCAGCTTAGAGCAATGCTTCGTCAGAGAAGCATCATAGGCAGCATTGGAAATATTGTTAAAGGCGCTGTTCACGATGTCGGAACGCTTATCAGCTGTGCAGGTGACGTTGTCCAGAGTTTGCATGATGCTGTCAATATAGATACGCCTGATCTTGGTGAGATTGAAGACTTGACCGACACTCTGGCAGAAATCGGCCAAGATCTACAATACGAGGGAGATGACGATGAGAACACGTCAACATCCAAGGAAGAACAGTCAAGTGCGACCACCTCCTCTTCAGCATCCTTGTCCACATCATCGTTCTCGTCTTCAAGTAGGTCTTGCTCGACACAATTTTCAAGTGCGTGTTCTCTGTCATACTCTGCTTTTGTACCTGCAGGTGCGACAACGATTACCACAGCCACCTACACCCTCTCGTGTTCAACAGTAACGGGGTGCTCTGCTTCAGCAATAGGGTCTGCAACAACAGTAACAGCAAGCAGTGTGTTTCCTACGGCCTCACTGATCGGTGATTCTTTCGGGAACATGTCCTGGTTCGATCAACAACAAGCTATACTTGCGGCGGTGATAGCAGACACCACAGACGTGAGAGTTACCGTAAGTACCCCCTTTTTTGTCTCTTCTGCTCGCTTTCTTTCGCACAGCCTTTTGTTTGGCTCTTGGACAGGCTCAACCCTTTCTCGAAGACTTGGCTCCTAGTTCTTTTCTACGAAAGCAAATAATAACATTCTACAGTGGAGCCCTAGTGAGACCACAACTTCGTCGATCTTAATTTCAAACAGCACCTCTAGTGGCTACAATACCGTGTCAATATTACCAATCATAAGCACAAAATCAGGAAATCAGACATACTCGGGGAGTTTCTCGAGCTCAACACCAGGTCAAAGCTCAGTCTTTGTCATCAGCACACAGTCTGTTGTTCCTGCGAACGAGTCAACATCGATAATAGTATCCTCGAGCCAAGTTCCTACGACTCTGCCAGTCACCAGCGTAACACCTACATCGTCGTCGACAGCGACATTCTCGAGTCAAGCTTCAGTAACTTCACCAATTACCAGCATTACACCTACATCCCAAGATAGTAACCCATTTCCTTTCACAACAACACTTGGCAATGGGCAAGTAGAGGCCTGCCGGACTTCAACTCTCGAGGTGTATGCAGGTTACTCCGCCATGTACTGTGCTGGAAGTGTTACCACGCTCTCCCCCGCGACAACATCAAGTATCCCATCCGCAACGCCTACTTGCGATGTACACGCTTCAGAACAGGTTATCTTTACGACATATGAGCTATCTGAAGTGGACGTCGATGTCTCCATTATAGACGGTGGTGGCAATAAACTGTTTGAAAATTCTTACTCCCCTCTTTGGGGCGTAATAACAACTGTTCCCAGCTCCGCGACAAAGCTTCCTTACAACATAACCTTCTCTTTCTTGATACCTACTGGCAGCAACTGGGAGAATTCGACTGTGAGCCTGACTGCTGGCAGTGAGGTCTGGAATTCTGAGAGTGCGCTCGACATTGGGGGTGAAACGCCGCGACTGCCGTATTGCCATGTGGAAGCTTGGAAAACAAGTCCAAAAGGTAACCGAACCTTCGATTGTTACTGGGCTTGTTAGGGCAATCTTTCAAAGCCTCCTTGATTAGAAAGCTTAGCTACCTAGGCATGTTTTGACGAATAGACGATCGATCTGGAAGACTGAAAACCTGAATGCCCTTGTTTGACTAGAGCAGTGACCCACCAGACCCCACGATTTGCTAAATGGTAAAACTAGCAATGGATGGTTTGTTTGGGCCTCTCTCAGTACGGTACACTTTGGAAATCGTCGAAATCCGGAGGAATCTAAAAGGTTCGCTACCCCTGAGCTAGCGCGCCGAGATCTCGGCTCTCTGAGATGTTATTATCCCCCGTTTTCAACCACTTACCATTTTTTTCCGAATATGATAGCAAACTTTGCAACCTGGAACATTTCAATCTCGGTTCAATCGTTTTTCCACAATGGACCACTCCTAAACAATTTGTTCTCATTGACTTATCACGTGGTTGTTGAACTCACTTTGCCTAGAGGTGGTCTAATGCTACTTTGGTCATTTTGCATCCCGTGAATAGGATAAAAATATCAGCACACAATCCACTGATAATATTATTAGGTACGGCTCAGCCCAAGCATGCTTTGTGTAACTTGTCAATGCACGTTTGACTACATTTGGACGTGATGTTGGATAGGTGTTTCATTCATATTCTCCAACAAAACCATCGACCATCATGCGACCTTCATATGACACACCAACCAACAAATCCGTAGAAGCCCCTGCGGTGGAATGATAAACATACGCCTCTACGGCCCCATCCGCAACCGGCGACGTATTTGCTATATGCCAACATGGCCCGACCTCATATCACACAGTACCGTAGCTCTCGCGTCACCCTCGGTGGTACCACAGAAAGTGACCTCAAACTAACTTGAGTGAGCTGTGACCAAATGGTCTTCTCTACTGCCTGAACAAATGTGTACACTGAACAGGCTGTCACTTCTTTTGTGGAGGTCACGTGAATCGCTTTATGCGCTTTACTTATGTAGGTAAGTATTTATTGCTTTATGCGCGATGCGGCCGAAGAAACGCTGAGAGTTACAAAAACAATGCATACAAAGCCAGCTGAAAAGAATCGATACAACACATCATTGCGCTCGATTGAATGCTTGGTAATTTCTTTAATGGCTGCATCGCGTTAGCTACTCTCCACTAATCTCTCTGCCCCTTCAGAAACCACCTGCGATATCACTTACGATATGCCTGCGCCATCGCCAAATAGCCTACCATCTGAGATCTGGCATTACATATGCGAGGCTCTTTCCCGAGATGACATCCGAACCCTTCGACTTGTCTCCAAACATATACAGACACCTGCTGCTTTCATTCTTTTCAGAGACGTGTTCATACGAGTTAGCCTGGACAGCTTCGAAAAGTTGGGGAAAATCTCCGAGCATGCCGTCTTCAGTTCACATGTGCGCCATATACATTACAACGGGAGAAGAATTCTAGGAGGAAAAGCAGAATGGAGTAAGGACAGATGGCATGCAGGGCGGATTAGTAGGAAACTAAGAAGTTACTATGCAGGACTGGATCAACAGCAGCAGCATGAGATTTGCGTATCGTATCTCGATGAACTTGCAGGATACGATTATATAAGCCAGGATGGCCGTGAAAGGAAAATGCTCAACCAGTATCTATAGCGGGGCCCGCTCGTACACCGTGCTTATAACAATTTTTTCAAAATTCTATAGCCATTACTTAAGCAATCATTAATTAACTTCTCGAGAGGATTTCCACAAGCCCCAGACGTAATCCACGAAGCAGCCATTAGATTCAAGTTTCGTGCTGGTGCAGTCGCAAAGTTTCCGGCCACTGGGAGCCTGCCTGCCAATCTTATGCATAAGAGGCTCTGGTGGGGGTATAAACAGCTCTGGTGGGGGTCGGCGTGACAGGAGTGGCCCACCTAGACGGGATGGAAACCAACTGTGCATGCAAGTCAGCCTCACTTTACTGGTAGTCATCACTGATGAACGCGCGGGGCATATTTTCGGCCCCCTAAGCTCATAAGGTTGTAGCGACCGCTCATAGATAACAGAACGTAAGGTCGTTCGCAATCGGTACTCTCAGCTACCCGTAAGTTCTTCTAAAACCCACCTTATCTTTCGACCTCACGATTTGGGTAATGGCTATCATTAAACAACTACATCTTCGGGGCTCCGGCTTGAGGGCAATCCGCTCTTTGAAGACTGTGGGATCTGCCCTCAAGTGGGTCGTTCTCAAGATATGGGCTATCTGTTTTCGAATCAAAGTTAAACTCCTTACGAAGTGGAGAGGGACAAAGAAGGAGAGTCCGAAAGTCATTACCTTTGAGCCCAGTATATGGCGAGCATCGAAGAAGTGCGCGATTCATCTTCTTCCGATAACTGCTATCGCAATCCTTGCCGCCCTGAACATCGCTACATATTTTATCGGGGCAGAATACCAAGGGTCCACGACGACGATCGAGCAGGGTTTCGATAATTTGGCTCTCCAAGTCACTGCAAAGCTCTACGTGAGTTCATCAGCCTTCTGACTTTAATACTAACTTATAAGTCTTGACTAGGAGCTTCTCATCATTGCTTCCTTGTCTACTGTGCTAATGGATGTCCTAAGATACGAGCTTCTGTACAGCTCCACAGGTTTGCCTTTTGGAATCCTGACGGCGAATACGCAATTTGTTGACGTGAGTTACCTCATCTCCCCAGAGTTTCGAATGAACGTTTTCGGACTCGTTAGATCGAAAAAATAGTTCTTGATTCCTCTTCTCGTGGTCTGCACCATACTTGCCCTTCTTTGCAGTATGAGCTGGTCCGAGCCTCCATCCAGCGTAGCTAATAAGGTGAGACATAGAGCAGATCGATTAAACCACGGGTTAAGGGCCAGGCTGATGATACCAGACAGTTCATTCTCAAACCTCCCTCAATACTACCGCCAACAATAACTCCCAAATATCATCACAGTGGTTTGAAACTGAGGGAAACACCATAAACACAACGTCATTTCCCGAACAGAACAGTTCGAGTGCATATCTCAGTATCCAGGTTCCACTTCACAATGGCAAACTTGGGCTTAGCTGCACTATAGATGCGCGCTGGGCTTACGGCCAGATCATAGCCCAAGGAGCTGCTCAAGTCAACCTGCCCGAGACTTACACCCCAGTCTTCGTACCAAATTGGGGACCTGATTTCGATGGCTGGCGTTTGGTGCGGTTTGCAAGAGACTGGCTCAACTCTCTCACGCCACAACTAGGGAATGTGACAACGTGGAACAGCCTATCGTCAACCTTGACCGAACTTGGGGTTGATAATAGCACGGGGTCCGTGGGAGATACGTGGGACACCGTAGCCTTCATTTCTCAGTTATTAGTTTCTGCCACCATCGTGGATGTTATGTCACGGGCCGGATACGACCTAATGAACAGCTTGCAGGCCCCTACTTTAAACGATAGTGTATTGGATGCTGCTGCGGGAGGACCCGACACGTTGAACGATAGTGTAATGAATGCTATACTGGAAGGATCATACATCCTGTATACAGACGACAGCAATGGGGCGAATGCGAGCGACCAATTACAGATGCACTGGTCCATCACAGCGACAGGGCTGGGTTACCGGGCGAACAGCTTGTCATACTACCTTGCGTTAGCACTCTTGTTCACCACTCTGTCATTGCTCTGTCGCATACTATCTGGATTTTCTACAACAGGAAGACTTCAAGAGCCTGGGGCTCACTAGCGGACGTGGTGGCCTTGGCCTGCAAATCGACACCACCCGCGTCGACACCGAATAATGCATCTGCCGGTGTAGAATCTTATGAAACGTATAAGCATCCCGTTCGCATTCGCGTGATTAGATCTGGACAGATTGCCGGACTTAGTCGCCCTATAAGTACCACGAATAACCCGAAAGAAGTTGAATTGGTCTTCGATGTAGGACATTTGACTGGCAATCATGAAGAAGTTCTCGTGGGGCAGTTATATTAGCGACCACATTTCGGTAATCCACAACCAAGATTACTTGCCGTCTCATCGAACACCATCATTCCATGAATGGCAGGTGGAAAAGATTGCCAAATTCACGAGAGGGAAGAATAGCAAACAGCCGCGAAGGTCATGAATTATCGCGCTATCTACATCTTCAGGATTTCCAAATTTCACCGTCGAAGCTCCTCATAGTAACACTCTCAAATCACTCTACTATACCCGCAAGGAGAGGTAGAGAGTGGGACGAGTGGGAGATGGGAGGAAGGGGTAATTAGGTTGAGTTGTGAGATGAAGGTTCCTGTAAATTCGGAGTCGAAGATAATGATTTTGGCAAAGCGAAGGTCTTGCTTTCCTTTCTTTCTTGCGGTTCTTGTAGTTGCTTGATTAAGTAGTGAATACATGCAACGAGATATAGTAAGATACTATTTCTTTTTTCAATTTAAAGCTTATTGTTTAGATCGAGTAGAAAATAAAATAAAATAGCATAGGATATAAAATTTTTTTTTTTTTTTTTTGGTAAGAAGCTCTACCCCGAAAGCCTGGTGTTGACAATGATTGTTTAAAATATAAAATTCAACGCTACATCACCAACAGTGGCCCGTGTCCATTTAGGTGGAAAGGGAGACCCGACACAGAAAATGATCTCAATGAAGTCCAACAATTTGACTTCAAAGACAAGTGGGAATGAGACGAAGATCCGTCGTGGTTCTTCTACGAATCCCGTCTTCGAAAATACGAATAGCTTTCTCAAATGGATGTCATCCATTCTTCATATGTTCAAAGTATATCTTCAAGGCGCCACGAACGTTGTGGATGATGAGGTGATCGCTGTCATTCAAATTACTATTCTTTTCCAATTTGATAGCAATTCTAAAACCCTACAAATGCGGTATAACTTCAGACCATTGCGGCGTACTATATGCCTGAATAGGCAATTGCCTCAAAGATACGAACGCATCCACTACCAAAAAAGCTCTTGCAAAGATATATATGATACCACAAACCGTCGCCGTGGCCCCAAAAATAACATATTCGACCCACACTGCTTGAAGAGCTATGAAACGATCCCAGTACGCACCTGCCCAAGGACTGGTGGCGCCTAAGACATTCATCAATAGCCAGACAAGACCTGAGCAAGCAATATAGAGAGAGGAGAACCGCCACATATATTGCTCGATGCGGGTAGGGAAGTATTGGTGCCAGGCAGCCATGTGTACACCGCCATAAGCCATGGACCCGAACCAGAGAATCATGCCCATTAGCTCACCCCCGAGGCCAGGCAAGAGGAAATCCGATGGCCAATTGCGGGCGCTGTGATCAACCATTTGTTCGACGATAGCCTCATAAGTTGGTATTTCTGTACCGCTTGCATCGTTTGATGGATGGAATTCCATTTTGTTGAACCGAGCTCTTACGGCGGGATAGCTTTGCACTGCAGCAGCGGCAAGTCTATGTCTTGCTTTTCGTAGTGTCGCGTTATCGAAATTTGGTTCAGGGGTCCAACCTAACTTCATCTTACGACGGATAGTCTTTTGAGAATCGAGGCGACGAAATGGTCGGAATTCAAAGGCACCGGATAGTTGTGAATCTACCCCGTCGACCACGACGCTTGGTTCTCTTTGAAGATCCAAGATAGTCGGACTCTCCACGGTGTCGATGACTTGGGCCGAGTCTGACGAACGGGACGACAAGAGTGCTTGACCGAAATCCAGGTAGACACACTTTGATATTTCGGGCGATACCCAAGATCTTGGCTTCAAGTGACTTTTGATCTTGGTGCCACTCATTCGACTGCTCATGTACATGTATGCGGTTATCGAGTCTACCCAACTGCCTTTCAGCACCGTCGGTTCGTGTATTTCTCTTGGCTTGTTCCACCATAGCAGGTACACAATGAAAGCACAAAAGATATGGCCGATAGTGTTGACCTCTAGTAGTGAGGTAGGGATATGTGTAGCTACTCTGCCGAGAGTTTGAAGGAGCATCCAACTGGCCTGCAGAAGAGCCAATGCTTTTGCTAAGCTATCTTGTTTCGATTTGTCCTTGATCTCTGACTCATTGAAATCGGGGAGAAGGCCACATTCTGCCAGGAGAAGGACACCATGAGCAGTAAGCGTGAGCCGGTGGGGACCGGATAGAAAAGGTTCGAAGCCAAAGCCACCCTGTGACTGTTCGAGTTCGATAACGAATCCACCCGCACCAGCATAAAAGCTGTGTACGTTCGTCCAAGGATGTTTTCGTTGTACCGCTAGGGGATGAGATTGAGGTTCTTTCTCCTAGAAAAGTCAATAATTCAGCTTTGACAACACGAGACAGAGAATGAATTCTCACATGACCGCCTCTTATTCGGGAGTTCAACGCGTCTTTGGAAGAAGTGTATTGTTGTTCTAAGTCGCTGAAAACTTTGTTGATCTCGTTCGTAAGTCTGCCAGCCGAAGTTCGTTGTCTCCAAGCCAGCAGGATGACAAGCTCCGGAATCAGGACTCCGCAAAGAGACCATTTCGCCCGACGAAGCCAATATTCCCGCCGACTTGCGTCTTTAGCAGGTATGTTGAGATGTAGCGCACTCCATACACAGAGACCTAGAGTGAGCAAGCATGATATGATAAGGCTGGAAGTACCCCGTCCGTTGGGGTCCGATACCCAGCCAACTGTGTCCAGATTGCTACTTCCATTCGGATCGTATGTTGGTGCCATTTTGCCAATAGAGAGGAAAGAATAAGTCTATCAAAGATCTGCGTTGCAAACGGACGAAAGTGCTGAACAACATAACATACCTACTAACGTGAAAGTGTGTTTGAGCATACCAGTCTTTCTATCATAGCACTATAATGCGCTTACGGTTTAAGTGAAGATGGGAGAAGGCTCCGACATTGTTATTTTGGACGGCGCTTCCATGTAGCGATGCAACACCGTATAGGTATAAATGGTAAGTTAAACATGTTCAATGAAAATGATAGAATTGCTTGCTGGTTGCACAAGCTTGCTTGTTGTAGAAAACTTAGACGCTCCGCCTTCGCGAGTCTCCTGGTGGGGGCTTTCTGTCGTCAGTTTCGGACGGGTCGTGGTCGTATTTGGAAACAGTCAGGTCACTCGAAGCAGCTACCCGTGTTCCATCTGCATATACCTGTTCGCGCCCTGCTACAGGTTGGGAGAAGGATCGCCCTTTCGACGACAACGTGCCTTGTGACTATTTTGCCGTATCTTCATGATTCGCAACGTTAGAGTACTGTTTAAATTCTCATCTCGATATCGAAACTCTCATCGAGTTGCGCAAGTTTGCGAACGCTACACTTTTCCTAACAAACTGCAGGCGGACACAGAAAATGGCGACTTCGGGAACTCGGAATCGCAAGGTTTCCACGCCTGTAACCGAAGAGCTGGTCGCACTCATTCCTCCTTCTTTCACCGACCACCACCAACAACAAAATTCGCAGATGCAGCTTAAGCGCTGGGATGAACTCCGTGAGTTACACTTACTCAATCGTAATATTCATCCTGCTGACCCTCCATAGCTCTCTGGCAACAGTAAATATGTCTTTTCGAGGAAACACGTGCACGATCTGAGCAGCCGCTATGAATTCGAGAAGAAGTTGAATGGTGCTAATGAGAAGTAATAGGGAAGATAATCACTTCATTGAGACTGGATATCGGTAAGTTGCCTCAACATCGCCACTTAGATATAGTCTCATGCCGCGAAGGTCAGCTTCCGCATCGTTGCGGAAATCTCTTGAGAGTTGGACATATCTTCACAATGAATCCGGTTAGTTATCCCATCCTACTTTCGAGTTCCACAGCTTATCCCACAACAGTGAATATCTACTCTCACCTCATCGGCTCTCTACTATTTGTCGTCTTACCAATCTATATCTTCAGAACAGAGATTCCACCCCGATACAAAGTCGCGACCAGTGCTGATCTGGGGATTTGTTCTATTTACTTCATCGGAGTTGCACTATGTTTCCTTCTCTCCGCAACGTGCGTCCACACCCCTTTCCATAACACAATAGACTCCGAAATACTTACCTTAGCAAACACAGCTTCCATACGATCATGAATCACAGCCCAAGAATAGACAAATTAGGCATGCAGCTCGACTTTCAAGGAGTGATCCTTCTAATGTGGGGCGCTACTGTTCCCTTGATATATTACGGCTTCTATTGTGATAGGAAACTGCAGTGGGTGTATTGGGCTCTTGTAGGAATCACCCTTGATCCCACAGATTATGTACCACTGAACTTACGGATTTCTGATACAGTCATCAACCTTTGCTCTTGTATGTTCAGTCTTTACATTTCAGCCAAGGTTCAGTGATCCCTTTCTCCGACCTTTGCGTGCAGCAACCTTTGGTAGTTTCGCGCTTTCATCCATTATACCTATCATTCACGGCATCATCAAGTACGGATGGACCCTGCAAAGCCAACGAATGGGTCTCAAATGGGTTCTGGCCACTCTAGGCTTGAATACGTTAGGTGCCGTGGCTTATGCTGTCAAGGTATTGAATTCCCCAACTTCAAGGCTAGTTAACACTTCCTCGTCACATCGTTGCTTATTACTTTTGCAGTTTCCCGAACGGTGGTTCAAGAGGACGTTTGATATCTTTGGCGCGAGTCATCAGTTGCTTCATATCATGGTTATACTTGCAGGCTTAGCTCATACGATGGGGGTCTTGCGTGCATTTGACTTTCTACATGCACATCCGAATGAGTGTGTGGGTCAATGACTGGTGCTAGACTATGGATCGAACTTGGGCTCCTACTTTCTACAGCAGAAGTGGAAAATACGAAGGCTTTCTCCTATGGAGGGGTGGAGGTCGAGAAGGGCGAGCAGAAGCGAGCGTAGAAATTCATTACACTCACGTCATTTACCAATTCACCTCTTCTTAATTTTGCCATCTTTCTGGGTCATTTTCTTAACCTGAACACAAAATTATATGAACTCTGCATCTCCATTAACAAGCTCCGCAAACCACACCGCAAAAACTCGCCAGCATATTTACATTTTCTTGTGGGGCACAGAACCTGATAAACTATACTCCCCTTCTCATCTTCTCCTCCATTCAACATTGAAGGGCACACACGAGACTTCCTTAACAACGACCAGGGCTTTTGCTATCAACGTTCTATACATTGCGATTGACACAAAGACTATCCACCTCCCAAGTCCCTCATTTCGTCTGAATCGATCTTCGGCTTGGCTCTATTAATCCAACTATGGATTTTCTACTTTCTTCAAGCGGTGAAAGTTTACCCAACAGCAAGATTGAGGACGAAACCGTACCTTGCCTCACACACCATGATAGTGAAAGTATTCTTCAATATACCTAGGTAAGGAAAAAGTTCAAGGGGACGGAAGCTTCGTTTATACACTTGTCAGACACTTTCCTCTTGTGAAAAGGCGGTATGAATGAGAAAGGTTGATGAGATTCACCCATGTCCCACACTTGGACATCTCCATTTCCCGAATCTCCAAATTCACTTTCCAGCGACCTCTAACCCAGCTTACTCCCCAAATCAACCTCCTACTCTTCCTCGGCATAAAATTATAAGCACCTGCCGCACCTTTCAAATCTGTAAACACAATTTCCCACCGCTGAAGAACACGAGTTGAGAAAGACACTTGCGTGGCCATCGACACACTTGCGCTCCCTTGTCCCGCTTCTCGATTCCTGATTTTAATCTTTTAATTACCTCACTCATCCCTGTCACTTCTCTCTTACTCATGTCAAGTTTTCGCTGTCAATTATTTAATTCCTGTTCGTCTTTGCTTCGATTCCTCAATAATGAACTTACTCAGCTCGACCCTGAAGAAACCGTTACTCCCAGTCATGTATCTCCTCTCAGCAAGGTCCATTAAAAATGGGTATCTCCCAGCGACACATCCAAAGCCTCTTCTGTGGGAATCAACAACTTGTAGCAATAGAAATTTAGTAATTGTGTTTATATAGCTTTCCATGACTCGAGACTGAAAGCAATATTGAGAAATTTGTGCCGAGAATAGGGTGAAGTGGGGGAGGGTGAATAATTAAATCTAAAACACCAACCTCTTCTAATCTTTATTAGATCGGTATATAAATACAGCATCTACCCCTAATTTTTCTCAAGAATCGTAAAAACTAACCTCACCAAACACTAGAGAGCCCTCCCTCACGTCTTCTCCTCTTTCTTCATTCCCAAGACTCAAGCTTTGGAGTTTACATGCCTCGGCTCTCTTACTGCTGTCTCGCCCTTCCATTTCTATCCGTCATAAATGGTTATTGTCAATTGCTTGCTTGCTTGCTGTCAACTTTTTATCATCCCCTTCTTCAAACCCCGGCCGGTCCTCTCCATTTGCCGTCACGCAAAGTCTCTCATCCGCTCTATCACCCAGCAACACCCTGAGTGCTGTTATGTTAGTAGATAATGGCCTGGAAGAGGAGAGAGTCAAGGGTCCTATATAGGAATCACTCGCTCAAGACTGAGGGCAACTCAAGTGCCACTGCTAACAGCACCCAAAAATTTCAAAAAAGTGAATCAGGCAGGGAAAAGTAGATAAGTACATCTGTAAACCACAGGTGAAGCCCACGTTCCCTATCTTCATTGTAAATAAGCATATAAATATACCCCTCTCCCTTTGCCAACTTTTATTCAAAGCAACTGGGCTCGATCCCCATCTCTTCAGCTTCGTCAAACACCAGCCAAAGCTGGACTTCAAACATCGTTGACGCTCTCACTAACGATGGTCTTCAGGCCGAGATCAAGCTCTTAAGCCTTAAATGCCCCACCTTTCAATCTTCATCCACCATAAACTTTTATCATCAATCGTTTGTTGATTGCCATCCAACCTGCCTTTTACTGTCACCACTTCCCATAACCTTTAATATCCCCAGCATTCACCACACCTCCGTGTTCGATATTTTCATCTTAACAAGATCATTCTTAAGACTTTGACGCTGACTAGCAAAAGTTTTTGGCTTCTTTTCCGGGTCGGTACAACAATCTATCTCAATAAGAGACTCGGGGTCGTTGTTACAAATTGAGGTTGGAAGGGAGTCGAGAAGTGTAAATGCTTTAGTCCAAAAACCACCGATTTTCCACCTCCCTTTGTCTAGAGAGCTATTGAAACCCCCAGCTACTCCTCTAAATATGTCGACTTTGTGAAAACTCCAAGAGGAACTCGAGTATTTGATAGCTTGTTCCCCACCGGCTCCTTTCCTTCTCGACATCTCGTGACTTTTCCTCGAGCCAGCAAAGAGTACGTGTATCGTATTACAATTCACTTATCCAAACTTCCCCTGTCAATTATTTGATTATTGTCACCTCACCTCCTTTCCATAAGCCCATATTGTCCTTCAATACCCTTCCTTCTCTTAACTCCACTCAATTCGCCACATGAAATATCCACCTTTAACATTACTCTCCCTAACGAACCCACACAAATTACGATCAACTCCGTATTAGTCGCACGGCGGCTATGATGAGACGCTCGAGCTGTGCTTATATACCCACTCATCGAGAAGGTTGCAGGAGAGGGAATAGGGAGCGAGATTAAGTGAACAAATTGAGCGAAATTGAGCTGAGGATAGTGAATGTGTAAATCAACGAATTTAACCTTGCCTTTTCTCAAGGTATAGCTATATAAACACCCACCCACCACAGATCCAGTACCAACGACCTCACAAGCTAGAGATGGGATTATTTATGCTCGCTTGATCCCCACTCACACACTCTCTGATCCAATTCCCCTTCTCTGAACTTTGCAACTTTTTCTTAATCAACATCATCATCCTTCATTACTCATCATCTCTGAAATGTTGTTGCCAAATTTCTACTCGCTATGAAGATGTCTACCTCCACTCCCCTCTTTCTAGCAAAGCACCATCACTCATTCTTACTCTCTCTAACACATTCATAGCCAATCGACCAAATCCTTTCGACGCGTCCCAGTCCCTGATTTTCAAAATATTAAACTATTAGCTATTCCCATCATTTCTTCCTAGTTCTCTCAACGTTTTATCGCTATATCTAGCAGTTTTGTTGTCAACCTTTTCTTCATTATCAAATCCTTCACCACTAATACAAAACCCTCAGATTCCCCACCTTATCCCTTAATAACCCTCCCCTACAACCTCAATTTCTTCTTTCATATAAAATCCAATGCCCAACACACGCGCGGCTTCAAAATTTCTCCACAAACCCTCCTGAAACGGCTATGTACTTCTCGAAATGTAATGTAGCAAGAAAGAGCTTGGAGTATCATGTTTATATAGGTCCTTGATGAGGCCAGAGATGAAATTCGGAGAGAGCAGAGAGTAAAAAGACGTAGAAAGAGTGAATACACCAAACATGCAATTGAGTTGAGGGGGCTGAATAAACCCCGCAAACCCAACCTCATTTGCTTTTCTAGGAGACGCGTATATAAACGCCCCTCTCCGCTCCACCTTTCAAGTTTCCAATCGTTTCTATTAACAAAGCAATCTTTGAGCCTGGTTCCACTCCTATCCGTTCTCAGTTCCAATGTATTACATCGAAACCTCGTCTATTTTCAAGCCCGCAACGTATCTGCACGCCTCCTTATTCATCCCAACTTCCATCGACAAACCTTTCTTCACTGTCAATTCTTTTATAGACTACTCACACGCCGAACGTCATTTGCTGTTCTTCAGATCCCCGGATCCTGAGTCCCCGTCTCAACGAAGCCAATTCGGGGGAAGAATGTTCTCGGGTTGCTTTATAGGGAAGAGAGAAGAGCTTGAAGGGGAGAGGTTCTTTATATACTGTTTTATTGCTCAAATCTTGAAGCAATAATAAGTGAATAGCTCATGTGGAGCCGAAAACTGAACAGACTAAGCAGTGAATGAAGCGCAATCGAGTTGAATGAACAAGTCCACACACCCACCTCTCCTTTACCACCTTCTTGAGCAAAGAGTATATAAATTGCTCCCTCTCACCCCTTCTTTCCAAACTAACATAACTGATCCACATTCTCGTCGCTTCAGGCTCGCGCTCGACTCAACATGTTTGCTCGGCATCTACTGACCCGTATACACAATCCCTTTCCATATAGTAACCTTTTCTTACCCTGCTATCACCAATTCCTGAACGTTATTATCAACATTTTCTTCGCCAATAAACCTTTCCTCGCTGTCAATCTTCTCTATTTTCTTGATTCCATCTACCCACTTCCCAAAGTGGCTCTGAATGATCCACGATAACTCAAGTAGACCCGATTCCTACTTAAAGGCTAATTTACTTATCTGAACCTCTCCTTACCAATCAACCGATTGGAAATCTCTAGGATGGATTGCATTACAGTACATAGAAAAGAAGAGAATTGATGAAGGAAGGAGAAGCTTATATACCCTTTTAGAAGGCTAGCAGCGAGAGACGGTGAAGCGAGAGAAGTATTGAATAAGTAGAAAAAATGAATTGAGTAGATCATGAAAATTGAATCCTTAACCCCATAACCCCAACCTCTTCTCCTCTCTTAGAAACAAAAGTATATAAACCTCCCCTACCCCCACCACTCCTTAATCAACCCCCCAAAAGCGTACCCAAACGCAATCCATTGGTAACACCGATAAACCCATCCTCTACAACCCGTAGCCAATTTCACAGACTAGTAATAATTCCACGATGCTCCATAGTTAGTTTTGGTCTTACTTATCTCGTGTTAAGTGCTGCTGTCAACCCTTTCATTATTGCCAAATTTCCTCATCTATCTCACATATGCACATTAAACAAGTCTTAAGACTAATACCGGCGTTTGCCTGAAGTTGTCTTCTATAATCCCACCAGTATTCCTTGTATCGGATTTCTTTTCAACGAACCCGCTAAGGAAGAAGATCGAAACGCTGATGAGCGTCATAGATAAAAAAAAGAGAACTGAAGAACAATTGGGTGTTTATATACACCTCACCTAGCCCTAAACCCAACGCTCAACAACATGTACTGAAAAAAGTGAATAGATCAAACAAGCACTCGAGCTGCGGAAGACCGGTGAATCCCTGAATCTACAACCCCAACCTCAACCTCCTCTAATTCTCTCCCAAAGAACTATATAAACCCCCGCCACATCTCTTATTTTGATTAACCTTAGCATCCGGCAACCAAGATTAGATCAACTCCGCTCTGCCTGCTTTGTCACTACACCTGCGCCGTATTCAATTGCTCCCCTCTGCACCTCGCAATTCTTTCTCAATGCTCAAATTTCCAAATGTCTTATCACTACCATCACGGTTATTTGTTCTTAAATTTCGCGATCACATCCCGAATTTCCAACTGTCAACTACTACTCACTCGTTGTCAACGTCTTTGAATCTCATCTCTGAATATTACCACTCAAATGAGTTTGAACCACCATCGTGCAAGAAACTGTATTGCACTCCTACTCCCAGAAGCAGTTGAAGCATTGCAAAACTTGGTCTCAAGATATACGCTCGAAAAGCGTTTAAAGCTATGGTTTATATACCTCTGCCTCGTTCGGAATCTGCAGTTTGAGTGAGCCTGAGGGGTGGAAAAAGTGAATCAATTCAAGCAAGCACTCGAGCTACGAATGGCCGGTGAATCACTATTCTCAATTCTAACCCCAACCCTCCCCTACCTCCCCCCATCTCCCCCGCCATGGAACTATATAAACCCCTACCACCCCCTAACTAAGCTCATCAACTACAGCAGAGGGGTATTGAGACCTTGACAAGGATCCGTCTCTTTCTCTGCTTCCCACACTCACACCGGTACCCCAACCCTATCTCCCTCCTAACTCTATCCCCATCTCCATCTCTATTGTCAATCGTGTTCACCACGTAGTTCGCATTTATTTTCGTTACTAGTTACTTTTCTACTATTGTCAAATCTTTTCCCGCTATCAAGTTCTCTTACCTCCACTCGCCTCTGGCTTTCCATAACTTATATTGTTTTTTAAATTTCCTCCATCACTCAACCTTAAACACCTCATTATACTCGAAACCCGACAAGCGATACCCGGCACACACGCATGCAATAGCTCTTCAACAAACCTTCAATGAGAGACCAGCAAGATCAGCGCCATGAAAGAAGAAAAGTGTTGAAGAAAAGAAAGGCTTTATATACCTCAAACCCCCTCCTTTATTTGCTTGATATTGGGAACTAAGTGAAAAGCAACGAGGTATAAGCAAAGGAAGTGAATGAACTTAGCAAATATCCCGCACGCAAAGGAAGTGAATCACCAACCCTACAACGCAACCACTCTCCTCTCCCTCCTCTCCTACCCTCCTAGAACTATATAAACCCTCACCACCCCCTCTCGTTCCAACCCCAACAATTGAAGAAACCGAGCCCCTATCACTTTCAACAGCAACCTCTTCCTCTGCAAGAAGTCGGTTGCTTAGTCCCCGGCCACACGAGCTCTGTTCGCATCAAAATCCCTCACCAGCCTACTACGCTCTTTCACCCTCCTTAGAATTTCTATTACCAATTACCCCTTCATTGCTAACCCCTGCCTCCTGCTATCTACCCAAACACAAACCTACACCCCTGGAGCCCCAGCTTATCTCTCAACCCCGTCCTTAAAAGGGAAGAAGAAGAAGAAGAAACTTCTAGTGGGAAATAAATAAATTAGGGGAAAGAGAGGGGAGGGGGTTATATACCTCACTTCTGTCTGCTTAAATGCGGGTCGGCAAGAGAAGTGAATAAACCAAGTAAGCACTTAAGATGCGGAAGGCCGGTGAATCACGCACCCTCTAACTTCAACCTCCCTACTCTCATAAAACTATATAAATTCCTTCCTCCCCCCCTTCTCAACCTTCCAAACCTCCAATCGTGTCCCTGTTGCTTCTTCTGTCAGAGAGAAACTCGTTCCTCTATCTCCACGCCAGCTCGGCGTTGTTCGGCTCCCCTACTTTGTACTCTACTTTCTATTCTCAACTCCAAGTTTTCAAAAACTCCCCTCATTACTAATTTTGCTCATCCCGAATTTTCGTTGCTAATTTCTTACCTACTATCAACACCTCCACTATGTCCCCAAACACTCTCCAATATTTCACAAAACCGACTCCTAAGCTGAAAATCAATACCCGACACCCGGCTTCCGGCACACGACACCCGGCACACTCGGCACACCACCCGGCACACCCATGATCCACCCTCTCCTATGGTCCCCTCGTCTGACTGTGCGATCATCTGACGGCTTAAAAAAAAAAGGAAAGGAGAGTTTGGAGAGTGGGGGTAAGGGGGTTATATACCCCATCCATCACTTAAAAAAAAAAATAAGAAGCAGTAAAAAAATTAAACCCAAAAAGGCTGGCACCAAATAAGCAGGAAAAGTGAATAACCAAACCCACAATTCTAGACTTTTCTTCTACTCTTCTAAAGAATCGAAGAACTATATAAAAACCCCCTCCTCCCCTCTTCTCAAATTTCCAACACTTTCAACAAAATCACTTTCCAAAGATCGTCTGCTTGCCCGGTGCCCACTCACACCGAGCCCTTTGCTCCCCTGTTCTACCCCTCATCTCCGCCTATATATATATACATATACCTTTCCCCAACACTAAACATTTATCACCAACGCACCGCTAGGGTTTTTTTTCTTCTTTTCTTCTTAGACATTTATTGCCCAACTACCTCTTTACTTCTATCACTAATTTTCTGCTCACCCTTACTAATCTCGAAAATTTTACTATCATTTCATTTTAAATCACTATTGTTCCCTACCTAGGTAATTTATTTATTCACCACCACTTATCTCGATTACCCACAACCCCAAACATTTCCCTAAAATTCGTTCTTTCTATACTTGACTGAAAAAAACCTTCGATAATAGCACCCGATACACCCGGCACACCCATTATCCAAGCTCTCCTCATCGCCCCCGCCCCCCCCCTCCGAGAGTGCCATCATCTGACGGTTTAACGAGAAAGAAAAAAAAAAGAGAAAGGGAGACTTGGGAGGGAGGGGAGGGAGGGGAAGGGGGGTTATATATACCCCCATCCCTGCCTTCCATTGCTTGATATTATTCACTATCCAACCAACCAAGTCAAGTCAAAACTAAAAAAAGGGGGGAAAGGGGGGAATAGAAAAAGGGGGGCAAAAGGGGGCGGAGGAGTGAATACACAATACAACTACAAAAACCCACAAACCCCAAAACCCAAAACCCAAAAAACTTACAAACTCACGCTTCCCTTCCCTATCTACCTTTCTTAGCGAAAAACACAGCAAAAACAGCCCAGAAATTAACAAAGCACCTCCATCTCTATTTCTATATTACAAAATTAATGTTACTATCAACAATAGCACGACACGACACGACAACGCACGGAAAAATTCCCAAACAAAGTTACGAGAGAATTATTTCCTATCCTATCCTATCCTATGCTATTTTCTACTCGATCTTAACCCGCAACAATAAGCCTCAGCTTCAACGTCAGCCGGAAAAAGAAAAAAAAAAGAAATGGTATTTGTTGTATCCCGTTGCTTGCATGTATTCACTGCCCAACCAACTAGTCAACTGACCAACTAGTCAATCGTAAGAAAGAAAGGGAAAAAAAAAAAGACCCTCCGCTTTGCCAGAATCATTATCTTCGACTCGGAATTTATAGAAACCACATCCCCAGCCTCATTATCCCTCCTCTCTCCTCCTCCCTTATCCCTCTTCTTCAAGGAATCCCATAATCGCCCTAATGCCCCCCGCCCCCAGCCCGCCCCTAGGGTAGGCCACATAAACACTCTCATCCCAACACCCCATCTTCTCCCTAAACTCACTCTTATTGGTCAAATGAAACTGCCGATTAATCGTCTCATACGCCTTCTTCAACGCCTTAACCTTCATCTTGCCCAGATTCCTGCCCCCGCGCATCTCGCTTGCCGCTCCTGTTCCGAACGTGATGCGTTTACACTCCGTGTCCGCCGCGGCGATGGAGCGGAGGGCGTGCAGGATCAGGGACTCGATGGTACCGGATGGGGCGTTGGGGAATTCGAGCGAGAATTTAACTTGGTAGCCATTGGCAGGCGAGAGTTGGTGCAGGACGACGAGGGCGTGGATGGTGCCTGTGCCGGGGTGGTAGGAGTAGTAGTACCTGCGATGCTCTTGGTCGATCCAGGGTCTGATTTGCGTCAAGTGGACTTGGGTGCCCTTGCGGCCTTTATGCCAATCCGCGATCCGCGCGTCGATTTTCTGGACGATGTCCTCGGGGACCGGCTCGTTGGGTGGGAGGTCGACTTCTTTGATGCCTTCTGCTTCGGCGTGGCGTACTTTGCGGGCGAGGTCTTTGTCCTTGGCAGCGGGGTTGTCGCGCGGGTTCGCCCGCTCTTCGGCGGCGCAGGAGAGGGTGCGCCATTGGAATTTCTCGCCGAGGTATTCTTCGATTTCGGCGCCGATGATCATCCAGAGGGGTTTGAGGTTTTTGTGCTCTTCTTTCATGTAGTCGAGGTACGCGGACACGACTTGTGGGTATTGGGATTTGGCGCATAGAGGCTCGCCGACGGCGATGGCGTAGTTGTTGTGGATTACGTAGCCTTGAGCGGCGCCGGTGGAGGGGTGACGCCAGACGTGGTAGCGTTTGTCGAGCCAGGAGGTGTTGGCTGCGTCGCCGTAGTTGGCGATTAGTTTTTCGAGGGGTTGGAGACGGGATTCGAGGGACAAGGCTCCATTTGTGTTTGGAGAGTCATGTTCGGGGTCTGTTCGTTCCCAGGGTGGGTTGGTGGTTGATGCTTCTTCATGGCGTAGACGGAGGACTGCTGGTCTTGCGGGGAGAGATTTCGGGTCTCGTGGGAACATAGATGCGAGACGAATGTTGCCAAGGTTCAAGAAGAGGTAGGTGAGGCGTTCGAGACCGATTCCACAACCGGCGTGTGGAGGAGCTCCCCAACGGAAACCTTCAAGGTATTCGGTCATGGTTTCTGGACGAATGCCTTTTTGCTTCATTCTCTTCTCGAGGAATTTCGCATCATGGATACGTTGACCACCAGTCAATATTTCTTGACCTCTCATGAAGATATCGAACGAATTGGTGATTCGGTCATCAGTTGGATCTGGCATGGCGTAGAATGGTCGAACAGATGAAGGGAATTTGTCCAAGATGTAGTAATCCGTCTTGTACTTTTCCTTGACAATCGCACCTAGTCGGATTTCTGCACGAGTTGCCAAATCTTCATATGGATCTGGTGGGTTCCCTTCCTCATCAACCCATCCATCATCAATCAACATTTGAACACCTTCTGTGAATGGAATTCTTGGTGTCTCTTCTAACCAGACGACCTTCTCTTGTGGATAGAATTGCGAGATGAGATCGATTTCCTTGGAGTAGCGGTCATAGATTCCTTTCCACAGGTTCTTAAACATTCCATCAATGATGGTCAAAGCTTCATGGTAATGCTCTTCCAAAGCCATCTCCAAATCCAATCCAGTGTACTCGGTCAAATGTCGAGGCGTGTTACTATCCTCAGCTCTGAATACAGGACCAATTTCATAGACACGTTCGAAATCTGATGCAATAGCCATCTGTTTTGGTAATTGAGGGGATTGAGCAAGGAATGCTGGTCGACCAAAGTAGTTCAACTCAAAGACTGTTGCACCAGATTCTGAAGCTCCACCTTGCAACTTTGGAGTGTGAATCTCGATGAATCCTTTGTCATCCAAGTACGTTCTGAAAAGGTTGCAGATACCAGATTGGATTCGGAAGATGGCTTGAGCTGGACCAGTTCGAAGATCGACGATACGACTGTTCAAACGAACTCGTTGCGGTAATGATCGAGTCTGTTTGTACACATCCATACTACCTGGTAAATATTAGCTTGCGTTCTCGCCCCACGACATGAGAACATACTTCGACTCAACAACGCAGAGGTCCGCGCTACATCTTGTGATTTCCTCGAGACATCTTGCGATTTACGATTTCCAGGCACGGGACTCGCAACTCTGTTTGGCCGTAACAGCTCTTGAGAAGCTCTCGGTGTACCTTCAGCAGGGGTATTATTATCCGAGGACCCAGGGAACAACGATCCCTCATCCTCCTCATCATCTTCCACATCCTCTCGATCACGATTGATATTCTCCGCATCATAGACCGTGAACGGAACATTTTCCGTCAAGTTCCCAACTTTGTGTACCTCGTATACCTCAAGCTCGTAATCGTGAATCGTGGCGTTCTTGACTCGCTTCGGCGCCTTGCGCAGTTTGGCGTGCACGACGACAATGGTCTCGCTAGGGTAATGTTCGACGCTTCGAACCATCTGCTCGGAAATCGTCCCATGGTTATCTTCGCCCTCTGGAGATTGTCAGCGTAAGCTCAACATCGGCTAAACTCCACATACCTTCCAGTTCTTCAAGGCCTTTGTAGCTTTGGAGTACGCCTTGGATCGTCATGGTTTGCTGTCGGAAAACGATAAATACAAGCTTCGCACTCATTCGTCGCAGGGTATGTATACGAGCTCGAAAGCTGATTATCTTCCCTTCCATTCCTGGCAGATTTTAGCAAACATCACCAATAGCATCCAATTGACTTACTCTGCAAATCCAAATCCTTGAACAAGATTCGATTCTCGTGATTCCACCTCTTACTCATATTCATGCTGTACGGTCTGTACAGTTTCGTCAATTCGGGCGGACCCTCTTGAATGAACTTCTCGTCCTCAATGCGCGCCATGGATTCGCGTTTTCTGTTCTCGGCTTTCTGGCGTTCCTTGTCCATACTTCGTCGTATCCTATCCGCCTGGATAATCTCCCGACTCTGACGCTTGTTCTCGACCGGTGTCCGCACTCCATTTGGCGGCGTGGAACTATTCGGAGTTCCATTCTGAACTGGAGTAGAAATTCCCTCTGTCTTGCTTGGGGTAGCCGATTCGGAATCGGTCGAGTTGTTGGAGGAGGTATTGATCTCCTTCAATTTCTTGAATGGTTTCTTGAGGAACGACATCATGACACTTCTTCCTTCTTCTTCTTCTTCTTCTTCCACGAGATTATCTCTGTGGTGTGGTGAGTGGGTGGGTGCGTGGGAGAAATGCAATGCAGAAATTCGGAAGAAGCGTCGGTAGTCGCGAGTATTTTGTAGGTTGTGGAGTACCGCGCTGCAGGTGGCTGATTAATCTAATCAGTCAGGTTGAAATGGGGGATTTGATGACTCGAGCGCCGGAAGATGCGAGGCTGGGGGATGAGGAATATGTATAGGCGAATGAGGGTGCAGAGAGCGGAAGAGTCGGATTCCATTCACTGCTGGTCGCCAAGAAAAATTGAGAGAGAGGGCGTGGGCGTGATCGTGATGAGAAAGAAGAAGCAGGAGAGGACGGAAGAGTGCGGATGCGAGGGGGAGGGAGCGGGTTTTTGTTGATCTCGAGATCAAAGCTCGACCGCGAATTCCTTTCTTGAAAATCCGAACGGAAAAAAGCGGGAAGGGAAATAAGATGGGGGAATTATTATTTTTAATTGGGAAATGCAAGATCTTGATCTTGGTCTTGATGCGGATTGCGAGCGACGTTGACGACGAACGAGACGAGATAAGATTAGGCGGTACCTCCTCCTACCCTACAGTACCGTGCCAGCCAGCCATACTTAGCAGATCCATTAATAGCGAACCGCCGGTGATGTCACCCACAATTGTACTTATGTCAGGTCGGTCATGTCTGGTTCGTGTCAACACCGACTGGAACTGGGACTGGCAATCAGACTGGCCAGACCGCCCAGGCGCAGACCGTGGATGGGATTTATGTATTCCCGCCATGGCAGGACCCTTGAAACCCGTCACATACTGTAACCAGTGTTGTGGTCGTTGATCAATCGTACACACAGACCGGAGAGAAATCTCCGGTCTGTGAGATGAGGGTGATGTGATGTGATGTGGAGCGATCAATCAAAATTTCCCCAGCATGAACACATACGGAGTACATCCACGTCATGCGTCCTGTCACTCGATAATCTTCAAACACAACCTGACCTTACTCAAAGCCTCTGGCTCTCACTCACTCACAACAAAATGTCTCTGCCAAGCTTGGTGAACCGACTATCCCGGACCTTCGCTCCGTGGCGCTGAGGCTTGTTTGCTTGCGGCTTAGTCACGGAGATCAGTGTCGTGTGCCAAGACTGGTGGCGGGTGTGGCGTCGTACCTGAGTGGGCCGAGGATCTGATAGAGGATAGAGCGAGGAGCATCACCGAGGAAAACCGAGCGCGAGACCCGATTCACGAGAAGACCGATTTGAGCAGAGGGAGGAAAGAGAGCAGAGATACTGTACAGTATATATTTGATAGCTTTGTCTTCATCAGGACAGCAGTTCGCAGACGCGTATATACCGGGAGGCGGAGTTTTTTTCATTTGATTTACAGCTTACTTTGGCGGCGGTGCAATCGATGTCAGATTGCACCCGGCTTCTCGGATGCGAAGAGAGTTCTCAAGGTTCTTTTGGTTGATAGGAGATGTTGCTTGGGAAGCAAGGCAAGGCAAGGTAGGGGAGCATTTGGATATGTACAGTATGAGTTGATGCTGTGAAAGGATACCTACCTACTGTAGATAGATCTACCTACCTAGGTATTCCATGCTCCAGTGAGCTTGGAAAACAAGTTTCACGTGAAGCTGCTCAACACCATTCGAATTTCGGTCATCTGAGGACTAGGCAGTTAATTCTCCTAACATACCAAAACCAAACCAGCGTTGATAGTTACAGACAGTCCATCTTCACTCTTCATATCTTGAAGCTTGACCGACCACTGTCACCTGACTCAGTGCGTTTCCCTCAAAGAGCAAGAAACCTATTTCGATACTTGTCCATGATTGGGTACCATCCAAAAGTCTAGAGCACCTCTACTGTACAGCAATTCTCCAGCCTCGTCAAACGGCAGGCGTCCTTGTTTTCGTTTCATGCAATCTCTTCCGAGACACCATTATTCGCTTGGGTAAATGAGGTAGGTATACCTTGGTCTCTTCCAAGACAACCTTGGAAATCCCAGACATGCTCATCCTTCCCGTCCGCTTCCAAGAAATACAACACTCAGCAAGGATATAGTCGTACCTGACCTCATCTGTGTTTCATCTGAGTCCATCATTCAAGAACTGGATCTTAACACGTGATGTGGCCGAATTGAGGTCTGTCCCAGGACAACCTTCACATACATGCATAATAAGAAATGTCATCAAGACCCATCATGAAGTCAACTATCTGAGTTTTGTCTCATTAGAAGTAAAGCACAAGGAATCACTTGTATGATTTCTTACCTGCCCTCGAGCTCTCGTCCAACTGACAACCTTTTTTTCAGGCATGTCTCAAGTTCCGTCGCGTGGCATCCCTCCCAAATGACGTATCTCGGCAGGGTCCCACCCCGAATCTTCTCTCGATTCCAGAAGTCGTCTTGCCCCAATCTAATCTACAGTAACTCGCAGCCAAGAAAATGATGTCGACCCACGGCGGTCCAACCAGAGACTCAAAGTGACCTGCAACAATACTCAAATCAACGACATCTCGACTTCCTCCCGCCCAGTATACCCAAAATGCACGTTGCTTAGTGATAAGAATCCCACTGAGCCCCAATCGACACGTACTCGCACGGTCCCAATCAACCCCCGACCCTGAAGTATTTATTTATCAACCAACCACTGAATCGTGATCCAAGTCTCCACCTAAAATCACCACGATTTCAGGGCCCTCCACAAGTGCTTATCATACCCCTCGACCCCTCGACCCCTCGACCCCTCGTCTCGCCTCTCCCCCCTCGAATGTTGAAGTCGAATAATGAGCATTGCTCGTTTGGTTCTCTACATGAAAGCTTCAATATGGAGGGCCCTCATGGCCATAGGAATGAAATTCCATCATCTCGCCGACCCGCGACCTCCGAGACCCAATTTCAAAATCGTCATCCCGTCAAGACTCTCCCCTCGTGGAGGGACCTTTAAACTCGTCTTCTACGTACCACAATCGTACTTCGAGGCACCTGACGAGTATCGCTACCCCGTCGTGGTCAACTTCCACGGCGGCGGCTTCACGCTGGGCACCGGGACAGATGATGCAAGATGGGCCAGCACGGTAATCGAACAAGTCGACGCTGTATTCGTCTCGGTCGAATACCGGTTGGCACCCGAATACCCCTTCAGCGTAGGAGTCGAAGACGGAACAGATGCCCTGATCTACCTCGCCTCCCACGCCGAAGAACTCCGTCTAGATCCCAATCGCATGGCCCTCTCCGGCTTCTCCGCTGGGGGAAACTTTGCCTTTACAGTCCCCCTCATGCTGTACGACCTGCAAAACGACGCCGGAAAACGAACCCTCCTCGACTCCTCCAAGAAACCCAAGAAATTCAAAAACGGCCACCACCAACAACTAAACCACAACTACCTGCACCCGCAATCCGCGGACCCGACCCCCTCCTCCTCGCAACTCTCCCTCCCGCGCCCAACCCAAACCCGCACGCACTCCAGCACGACCTCCATCGTCAAGCTCTCCGACCTCGAACCCACCGCCCTCGAAATCGCCCACCAGCTCCCCGCCCTCACCCTCAAATGCATCATCTCCTTCTACCCCCCAACCGACTTCCGCTCCTCGCGCGACGAAAAACGCCTCACCAACCCCGCCCCCGAGAAGAACCTGCCCCCCATGCTCACAAACCTCTTCGACGCCTCCTACATCCACCCCTCCGACGCCATCGACCTGACCGATCCCTACCTCTCGCCCGCCGCCGCCTCGGATTCCCTGTTACGCTCCGCATATCCGGAAGACATCATCCTATATACCTGCGAATACGACATGCTGAACGCGGAAGGCGTCGCGTTCGGGGAACGGCTGCGCAGTAAGGAGGTCGGGAAGGTGGTGCATGGCGGGCTGGTGAAGGAGGTCCCGCACGCGTTTGACAAGAAGCCGAATCCGGTTAGTTTTCCGAAGAGTGCGGAGAGGTGCTATAGTGAGGCGTGTGCGGAGCTGAGGAGGGTGTTTGGGGGACGGAGTAGTGTGGAGGAGAGGAGGCAGTTGGAGCTGGAGGAGGAGGTGGAGCGGTTTGATGGCGTGGGGAGTTTACCCGGGATGAAGGGGGAGGTCAAGGTTGATAGGACGGGGGAGAGGGAGAGGGATGGGAGTAGGGAGGGTAGGAAGGGGAGGAGTCCGAGTAATCCCGGGAAGGCTTTTAAGTTGGAGAATATGATTTAGAGGATAGGAAGGGTGTGTTTTGATTGGGATGGGACAGTACACGATGGACGGGAGAACAGGTGCATGAGGACAGAGGCGTTTTATAGATCGGTTCAATTGTATTGTATATATGTATGAAAAGCTCCACAAGTCCTTTCACTTTCTTCCCAAGTAATGTCTAAGTTCGACTTCTATTTACACTGCATTATTTTCCTACATAATTCATCTACGATTGCTTCCCTCTCGCTTCCTCTTCCGCCCGTCACCATACCAGCATCCCTCTCTCCTCTCCGTGCTTCACACACCCCCTAACACACACCCTTCCAACACCCCCTTCCCCCCAATATCACAATCCCAACTCTCTCTCCGACCCCTTTATCAAACACAATTTCCATTTCCATTTTAATTCCCACTTTCAATTTCTCACACATACATACATACATACATACATCGACCCTCATATCCTCCTCACAGCCAGCGAGAAAATAATGAGCTAGCTTTTCCTCTCCATTCTTCTCCTTCTCTTTTTATTAGAAAATTTGGAGTGTTGATGTGGTGCAGAGGGGGGGATTTGTTGTGTGTTGTGCGTTGTATGTCGATATTTCCTTTTTTTAATTGTTCTATCTTTCTTCAGGGGGGGAGGGGGGTAGAAGTAGGGAATGGCGGAAAGGAAAATGTGGTGTATGTTTACTTTTATTTTACTTTAGTTTACTTTTCTTTTTCCTCTCTAAAACTTCGAGGTTGTGTTTGTTTTTCTGTTTTTCGGGGGGTGTGAGTGAACTGACTGACTGGCCCAACAGAGGGAAAGAAAGGGGAGAGAGAGAAAAGAGAAGAGAAAAGTATATAAAACCACCCTTCTCTCCCTTTCCCTTGCTCTCTTTTTCTTCTTCAATAAATCGCCAAGCCTGGTACCACAGAGAAGAAGGTTTGGAGAATGGAGAATGGGATTCGCAAATCAGTGAGTATGCCGTTTGTGTATTTTATTTTTCTGGTTTATTTTTTTTTGGCAGTGGTGTGTAGACCAACAGCTATGCGATATTTCAACGAATAATTGACAGTGAAACAATTAAGTGACAGTGGGGGAGGAAGTAGCGATAACATTCCAACCACCTTTGTTGAATTTTTCATTGCCGTTATTGTTGTCTTGGCAGTTCTAGTGGTTCGAGATAGATGGGTGGGTAAGATTGACGGGTATCGCGCTCTGGTTCCACGATTCAACGGGACACTCTATTGTCCTCTGTGGACTCTGGATTCTGGAAGTGGTGTTTTGGCAGAGGGGAGGAGGAGGTTTTATATACTTGATTTCTGAAGATAGGATGAATTGGAGGTTTCGAGAAATGAAAGAATCAGGGAAACGAAGGAGTGAATTTTTTTGGGGAGTTTTGTCTAGTGAATCAAAGTGCGAGTAGAAAGTGGAAAAAATGGAGAGTAAGTGGGGGGTATATAAACCCCCTCCCCTCCTCCCCTGAAATATTCCTTGAACTGCCTAAACGATGAATTCTTGGCGATTCAGAGAGGGGGGGTAAGATGAATAGTATATTGGCAGGGATGGATGACGTTTGTTATGAGAGAAAATGGGCTAGATAGATAGTGGTATAATTTGAGTGGTTATTAATAGTTGACAGCGGGATTGTAGATGATAGTAACATAATTTTCTCTGATCCACCCGACCCTTCTTAGACACGGAACTAGAGCAGAATGAAAGTGTGGTGCCGCTGCAGGGTTGAGATATACGATGGTCTGGTCCCCACCACACCGTATAGCGTGCTTTTGCTTAGGTGTGATTGTAGGTGGGGCATTTGAGGTTATGGATTAGTTTCTGGAGGAGGGAGGAGAAGTTTATATACTTAATTGTAAGAGATTGGAGAGTTTAAAAATATGGAAAAAACGACAAAACAAAGAAAAAGAAGTGAAGTGGTGAATTTTCTTGAGAAACTAAAAAGGCAACGAGTAAAGTGTAGAATTGAAAAGCAAAGGGGAAAAAATAAATATATAAACCTCCTCCCCTCCTCTATTAGGCTACGGGCCTCCATATGACCACTCGAACCATCACGAATACAACCGTCGTCCCTCTCAAACTCTCATAATCTACCATCCTTTTACTTAACATATTCTTCTAACTACACGAAGATTTTGCGTACAATCGAAAATAAATAATAAAATGTAACATATATACAATAAAGATATTTAATATACAAAAAATTAAAATATTTTAAATAATAATTTTAATTAAATGGTTACAAATAATTAACAACGAAAAAATAATTAATAATAACACGATATTTCCTTTTTTTACTATATTTTTTATATTAAATTAAAATAGAATAAAAATATTATTTTACTACAAGTTCGAAAAATACTATAATTTAGTTATACGACGAAACATATCAATATTACGACACGGGAGCGAGAAACTATGGATTCTTAAAAAAGGAGAGAAAAATAGGAAGAGTTTATATACTTAATTATAAGAGATGTTACGTCTCTGCCCTCACCCTGTGTGAGGTCACGTGGGTTGGTATGGTAAATGAAGTAAGATAAGGCAATTGTATTTGAAGTCAAGAATATTAACGAAGTTGAGCACAAAGCTCCTATCTATGGCAGAAGTGCCAGTCATATATACTGCTCTTCTAGTGGTGGGTCGAGATGGAGCGCAGGAGCTCCTAGGAGCTCCGCCCGCTCCTCAGTGCTCCACCACGTGACCCAGAGTCTACCGAGGTGACTCAGCGAGCTCACGTGCACGTGGTCGTGACAAGAGATTAAAGAGTTTAAAAATATGGAAAAAACGACAAAACAAAGAAAAAGAAATAAAATGGTGAATTTTCTTAAAAAACTAAAAAAGCAACGAACAAAATATAAAATTAAAAAGCAAAAAAAAAATATATATATATATATAAACCTCTTCCCCCCCTTGTTACGAGTAAGGAACACGATAGGCCCAGTAAGCGAGCTTGTTGGAGATACTTCGGGATAGGAAAGTTCCAGGTGCACGAGATTAGCGATCACGTGATTAAAGTGGACCGAGGAGGACCGAAGGGAACGAGGACTTTTTGTCTTGGTCCCCTCGTTCCCCCTCGGCCCTGAGTAGGAAGGTTCTATATAAGCAGATAGTTTTCTAAGTAAATAGGAGCTTCGTACTCAACTCAAATATAGTTTCTTAACAATAAGCTATTAGTAACGAGATTGCATTGCTCTTCGATTCATCATCCTTTTGATCCCTTATCACTCTATAGCCAACAAAACCCGACAGTTAGGCGAGACCGTTACACTTTGAGCACCGCTTTGTAATACTCGATCAATTAGTAAGGAAAATAACCTTATCCGCACCTAAGACCAAGATCCCTAATACCTTTGATAGTACTCGAGGAAAACTGCGCCTGTACTTGGCGCAAATTTCTACGTATGTCTCTCTTCACCCCGAACAGTTTAGGGCAAAGCTAGAACAAGTCCTCTAGGCCACGTTGTTCTTAACTGGGGCAGTATTCGACTGGGCCGAAACGGCGTAGAAGGATTTCTTAGAAGAAGAAGACAATAAGGAATAAAAGGACGGGACGAAGGAGCTATTCCGAACCTTTAATAGATATAAAGAGAAAATATCTAGGGTGTTTGGGGATGTTAACAAAGAAAAATCTGCTATAAGGAGACTATAGGGCCTTATACAGAGGGGCGCCGCTTCTTTATATGTATGTCACAATCACGGGGCTTGTGGGCCATAGGCCCACAGGCGAGGGATCGAAATAGGTTAGCGGGTCACCTGATGGATCATTGATCCTCATTGAGGGTCAATGAGGCTCATTGATCTGGAGAACAGAGGTTCTATATAACAACGGGCTGTCGCCCACTAGGTAGGAGCCTCGTGCTCAACTTGATTAAGTTTTCCTAACTACAATATCATTGCCTTATCTTACTTCATTCACCATACCAACCCACGTGACCTTACCAGGGTAAGGAGAGAGTCGTGACAATGTAGCCGAATTCCAATAGTACGCCGGATGAGTAGACGTTGACGACAATGCGTTAAGACACTACTTCTACTAAGGACTAAAGGACTCTATTAAAGATGAAATCTCGAGGGATGATTAGCCGGATAACTTGTAAGAGATGATTAACGACGCTATTAAGATTAACAACCGTTAGTACGAGCGAGCATTGGAAAGAAAAGGATAGTGGACAAAGGGGTACGGAGGAGGAAAACCTAAGGGAAAGGCTAATCGAGGCTAAAGCTACTGGCTGCAGCCGATAGAGGTCGATGCTACTACAAAAGGATAGGAGCGTCCCCATTCCGATGGGCTAAGACGTCTAAGCCTTAACGAGCTTAAAAGGCGACGTAAGAAGAAGCTATGCTTTATATGCGGACTATCGGGACACGTAGCAAGCTTATACAAAGGAAAAGGATTCGAGAACAAGAGAAAACAAGTTAATGCGATAGGCAGAGGGGGATACAACGACGTACGACAAGTATGCGCCACTTTCAACAACTAATGGGAAAGGAAGGCCGAACAGCAACTAGAGGAACTAATGTAAGAGCTCGATGTATAGGTCGTATTAGAACCAGATGAAGCTAACGAAGACATAAACCTAGGAGGATACGTGGAACTCCTCTTAGACACCGTGTTAGAATCTAAAGGATTCGAGAACCTAAGCCTCCGGCAATACGAAGTCCCACAGAAGACAAGCATTGATCAATGGCCGATCAACTATCCACGAATCAACGAAACTTAGGAAGTGTGTTAGCGAAAAGATAGCGCGACCGCTTGCACTAGGGAATGGAGGAACATCAACACATAGCGTGTGTATATCGAATCGTTACTAGCACTAGGAGGATTAGATTACCCAGAGAAATATGTGGTCGCGTACTAAGACCACAGACGCATTAAATGGAGAAGGGAAGATAGTCTTATGTGCTACATATAGCACTTGCCTCTTTCGGAACTAGAGCCCTCGAGCTTAGACCCAATCGTAGGCCAAGTATATTAGGTGCTAGCCGAGAGCCCAACTAGGAGGCTCTAGGTAGATTCGGA